TCTGAGGGCCAAGAAAAATTTGTCTGAGGGCCGCATTTGGTCCGCGGGCCATAGTTTGGACATGTCTGCCCTACAGTTTCCATAGTTCCATCTGTAAACCTATAATACATGGACCCATCCCCAATCCCACCCATTTATGAACAAATACAACAGAACAATTTCAGTTTGTTTTTATTTGTTTGTGTTTTGAGCTCAGTTTTTAACATGTCACGGCATTTTAACCAAGACGTGCAGTAGATTCAGTTCAAAGAACAGAACAAAGGACTGCACAAAGAGAGAGACTGTTGGATTTTGAGAAATGAGCTGTTTGTTTTTCCTGTATCCATGGAGAAGAGGTCAGCTGAGTATAGGTGAGAATCTAGGTATGGAATTTGAGATGCTGCAGGCTTTTTTACATCACATATATCAGCAAATGTGGTAGACGACTTTCGAGGGGAAACACTCTGATCCATTTCATCACCAAACAAAAGACCAGAGCAAAGTGAGAGTGAGGCCTTCCCTGTTGCGTTCACCAGGTTCCCCCTGGACACTGCTGTGACTCTGCAGGACAGAGGAGAGACACTTTTGGCTCTTCCACAGGATCTGCTGACCCTCCCTGACCTGTCCTCCTGTGAAATTGACCTTTGAGACCTTTGACACAAATGCCACTGAGACATGAGGGTGACACTGAATTTCCCTCAGGATCAATAAAGTATCTCTCTAAAGTGTCTCTCTCTGTCAGTGCTCTTGCCTGTTTCTCAAGTAAAATTTGGAGGGTCATGTCTCATTGAAGTAGGTCTGGATTTCGGCCGGACAGTCCGGTTTTAGAGCCTTCTGTCCGGACCTCTGTTCTGCGTCCTCATTTTTGACATTTTGTCCTCATTTCGGACGCTCAGCTGCCACCGTTCGCACGCATCACTACAAATCCCCGCCCATATTGAACCTGTGATGCTGCGATATCAATGTTTGAAACTGTTTGCTGTTGAACAAACGCAAATGCCAAAAAGGAAGACATCCTTCAAACATGCTTGGTCACGTTCATACTGTGAAAGTTTTAATTCTGCTTCTGCGCTTCTATTTAACTTTGTTCAATAGGGTGCCACATTTCTTGAGTATTATAGGGCCCGGTCAAGCAGAAGTAAACAGCAAGGCCAAAAATTCAAGTTAATACATCTGATATAAAAATGTATTGAACAGATACAGATGTACTCTAGTTTATGAAACTGTTGACCTTTTTTCTGTACCATTTTTGGTTCTAAAGTTACATATGTTAAACAGACCATGTATGAAACATGGAACAAAAATTATTTCCCAAATTTCAAAGACCTGCAAATCATGTAAATAAATGGATGTATTTCATCATATCTTGTGTTATTCCATCTTTGAACTGTTGATGAAGATAAAAATTTGCTTGGAAGGACTGACATATTTTATAGAAATAGTTTCCTTTCCTTTTGAAGTAATATTAAAGTATTCAGAAGAAAAAAGTTGACAAATTATGTAAAATCCTGCACCTTCTACTTGTTTGCACAATTTTCCCTTTGTTACTTTTCCCTCCGTTACCATGACCTTTCTTAATAAAAAAATCTCATGACTCAAAAAGTAAGAGGTTTTTCAACCTAATCTTGTACCATATGGTAGAAAACTATATGAAGCAAATATTCAAACCAGTTTGTTAAGGATATGTAAGTGAGAACCAAGAGTTATCACTGTTTGGATTTATTGCCCAAAAAGTGCTGCATATTTCATTCCCTCCGTTACCGACATGAGTTTTTTCATTTTTTGTCAACAACTTGAAAGAATATCACAGGTTTAACTTGACCCTGTTGGAGTGTAACTCTTTCCTACATTCTGATACTTTACTTATTTCAATAGTCCCTCTAGTTTCTGAATAAGAGACATTTGAATGTCAAAAATCTGCCCCTGTTTCCCTCCGTTACCGCTTGACCCGATCAATAGGCAAAAACCCGGCTACACATTGTAAAGAGCCTTTACTGTTTAGTGGAAAAACATTAAATCTGGCAACAACACGAGCCACCAGAATCGCATCGCTGCAGGTGGTTCTAGTAGTATCCTCACTTTTGGGCCAGAGTGTCATACCGGTGGTCACCCTACACTGAAGCCTGTAGGAAAATCATTACATCATTACAGTAGCAGGAGTAGGAAGTCCAGGAAATAGTAGTAGTAGTCCTAGTAGGGAGTCGTATAGTTGTAGTAAGTATTAGAAGTAGTAGTATTAATATTAAGGAGCAGGGGGTAGTAATAGTCAGTGATGCCACTAAAGCGTTACTGTAGTCCGACTACTTTTTTCAGTAACGAGTCGTCTAACGCAGTGCTATTTCCAAACCAGCAGTCAGGTTTAAGTTACTTATCTAATGCACTGGATGTTACTATTTTTTGTGTTTCAGGGCGACGTAGGTTATTTATGTATTTTTATTTTTGGCGACGTGGGTTATGTGACCCCAAAGATCGTACGAATCGTCTCTGGTGACACGTTTCCTATGATGTTACGTCGTCTCCGCTCCGTCACGAGTCAGATGGAAACACTGGAGGGAGAGAGGTTACGCCTTTTGCAGCTGGAAATACAAACATTATTTTGATTTGATTTCAGCTGAGGACGGCAACATAAAGGTTCATTGTTCACTCTGTGCTGGCGACAAAGGGGGTGGGGTTACTTTATTAGCTGCTGAAAGTAACTAATAAAGTAACTTCTTAGGTTCTTTTTAAAGACAATGCAGTAAAGTGTGTTTACCTTGTTGACATGTTTCGGCTGCTGCTGCATCTTCAGAACTGTCCCCGGTGTTGGTGGTGACGTGTCGTATATCAGCTGTTGTTACTTCCTGTAGGCGTGGTCAGACCTGATGGACCTGCAGGTCGCTCAGACTGACCACGCCTCCCGTCGCCCGGTGTCTCTGGAGGAGGGTGTCCCAGGTGTGTGAAAGGAGGAACGCTCCGTCGTCCCGGTTAATGATGTCCGTGCCTCGTTTCCTGATTTCATCGTCCTCCTTGATCCAGCGTTTGAACTTGTTGTTTTCCGATCCAATGACCCGAGCCCCGTCCCAATCCATAATGTGGTTGTTCCTTTTACAGTGTCTGATGTGGCGGATTTGAGGTTTTCCTGTTCTGCTTTGTCTTTTTGTTCTGGTGAGTCTCCCTGACGTTTCCTTTTCGCATTCCTTTTGGTGTTCCTTTTTTCGGATGTGAAATGCCCGGCCTGTTTCCCCTGTGTATGATTTATTGCATGAAAGAACCTAAGAAGTTAAAGTATATAAGAAGACATAATGAACATCATTGGCTTAACTAATAAAGTAACTTGTAATCTAACGAAGAAAGAAGTAATCAGTAGTCAGTCGTCAGATTAATATTTCAAAGCAACTATGGCAACACTGGATGGTTAACACCAGTGTTGGGAGTGTTACTTTTAAAATGTAATCCCCTACAGATACAGATTACAGATTACATATCCCAAAATGTAGTTTGTAACGTAATCCATTAAATTACTTAAAGTGAGTAATCTGAATACTTTGGATTACTTGAATTGCTGTAGAGAAGTAAAGACTAGAATATTTAACTGTATTAAAAATATTATTGATCGAAGAGGAGGAAACACGTCTGCACAGGATGATTTAGTCCTGTTAAATCCTGTTTTAGTCCCAGTTTAGATCTAGTTTAGACCTGGTTTAGATCTGTTTAGATTTTAGATCTATCTTAGACCTGGTTTTAGATCTAGTTTAGACTGGTTTAGTCCTGGTTTAGACCTGGTTTAGATCTAGTTTAGACCTGGTTTAGATCTAGTTTAGACCTGGTTTAGATCTAGTTTAGACCTGGTTTTAGTCCTGGTTTAGATCTAGTTTAGATCTAGTTTAGACCTGGTTTAGATCCTGGTTTAGACCTGGTTTAGATCTAGTTTAGACCTGGTTTTAGTCCTGGTTTAGATCTAGTTTAGACCTGGTTTAGATCTAGTTTAGATCTGGTTTAGACCTGGTTTTAGTCCTGGTTTAGATCTAGTTTAGACCTGGTTTAGATCTAGTTTAGACCTGGTTTAGATCTAGTTTAGATCTGGTTTAGACCTGGTTTTCGTCCTGGTTTAGATCTAGTTTAGACCTGGTTTAGATCTATTTTAGACCTGGTTTTCGTCTGGTTTAGATCTAGTTTAGACCTGGTTTAGATCTAGTTTTAGACCCTGGTTTAGATCTAGTTTAGATCTAGTTTAGATAGACCTGGTTTTCGTCCTGGTTTACATCTAGTTTAGTCCTGGTTTAGATCTAGTTTAGATCTAGTTTAGTCCTGGTTTAGATCTAGTTTAGATCTGGTTTAGATCTGGTTTTAGACCTGGTTTTCGTCCTGGTTTAGATCTAGTTTAGATCTAGTTTAGATCTAGGTTTAGATCTGGTTTAGACCTGGTTTTCGTCCTGGTTTAGATCTAGTTTAGTCCTAGTTTAGATCCTGGTTTTAGATCTATTTTTTCCTGGTTTTAGATCTAGTTTAGATCTGGTTTAGTCCTGGTTTAGATCTAGTTTAGATCTGGTTTAGATCCTGGTTTTAGACCTGGTTTAGACCTGGTTTTAGTCCTGGAATTGCCGAAAAAAATTTAATAAAAATAATGTGAAAACAGGAAAATACTGCTGTGTAATCCACTTATTTCAACAAAGTAACTGTAATCCAATTACCACTCACTGAAACAGTAACTGTAACTGAATACAGATACTCATACTTTGTACTCTGATTACATAACTCCAGGTACATGTAATCTGTTACTCCCCAACACTGGTTAACACTTGTTTTTATATATGACCCACATCTGTCCAATTACCTGATTTAAAAACCCTTTTGTCCAACACGATAAAAACTCTAAATCAAAGTCGTGAACGTCACAGAGATGATGGAGGCGACTGACAGGAGGTGATCTGTCTTCCAAACGCTCGTCTCACTCATGCCTCTGTGTTCCGGTCTGTTCTCTCCCTGATTGTTTCACGCAGATCCACGCTGCTCCTGTCGCCCCTGTCGCCCCTGCCGCTGTAATGGGCCCTGCCTCGTTAACTGGTCGTGTGGCGCTGGGCTCGATCACCACTGTGTCCTTGGTGACGGGAATGAGACGCTCTGCCACGTCTTTTACTTACATACTTTTATACTCGTAAAGCCACGTCACCAGGTTTGGTCAAGCGTGGCCGCCAGATTAATCACAATCATATTATTTAGTACTGGTTTAGTACTGGTTTAGTCCTGGTTTAGTCCTGGTTTAGTTCTGGTTTAGTCCTGGTTTAGTTCTGGTTTAGTTCTGGTTTAGGTTTGGTTTAGTTCCTGGTTTAGTTCTGGTTTAGTTTAGTTCTGGTTTAGTGGTTTAGTTTAGTTCTGGTTTAGTTCCTGTTTAGTCCTGGTTTAGTTCTGGTTTAGTTCCTGGTTTAGTTCTGGTTTAGTCCTGGTTTAGTTAGTCGTTTAGTCTGGTTTTAGTTCTGGTTTAGTCCTGGTTTAGTTTCCTGGTTTTCCTGGTTTAGTTCTGGTTTAGTCCTGGTTTAGTTCCTGGTTTAGTTCTGGTTTAGTTTTTAGTTCTGGTTTAGTCCTGGTTTAAGTTCTGGTTTAGGGTTTAGTTCCTGGTTTATTCTGGTTTAGTCCTGGTTTAGTTCTGGTTTAGTCCTGGTTTAGTTCTGGTTTAGTCCTGGTTTAGTCCTCCTGGTTTAGTTCTGGTTTAGCCTTTGTCTCTGGTTTAGTTCTGGTTTAGTTCATGGTTTAGTCTAGTCCTGTTTAGTCCTGGTTTAATTCTGTTAGTCTGTAGTTGGTCTGTTTAGTCCTGGTTTAGTTCTGGTTTAGCCTTTGTCTAGTTCTGGTTTAGTTCTAGTTTAGTTCTGGTTTAGTCCTGGTCTAGTACTGGTTTAGTTCATAGACTACACAACCAGCCCCTACGCTTCTGACTCCCTCAAACTAAAGGTACAAAACTTGGTTTAGTCCAAAGAGCAAAGACTTAAAAGTGTTTAGAACTGTTAGTTCTTGAAGTCTGCACTGAAATGAAGCAAAGGATCATGGTCTATGTAGTTCCCTCTGCGTTTTTTTAGGGCTAAACCAGGACTAAACCAGGTCTAAATTAAGGTCTAAACCAGGTCTAAACCAGGACTAAACCAGGTCTAAACCAGGACTAAACCAGGTAAACCAGGTCTAAAACTAAACAAAACCCAGGTCTAAACCAGGACTAAACCAAGGTCTAAACCAGGTCTAAACCAAGGTCTAAACCAAGGAAAACCAGGTCTAAACCAGGAAACATAAACAGGTCCAGGTAAACCAGGTCTAAAACCAGGTCTACTAAACCAGGGAAACCAGGTCTAAACCAGGTAAACCAGTCTAAAACTAGGTCTAAACCAGGTCTACTAAACCAGGTCTAAAAGGTCTAAACAGGTCTAAACCAGGAAACTAAACCAGGACTCTAAACTAAACCAGGTCTAAACCAGGTCTAAACCAGGTCTAAACCAGGTCTAAACCAGGACTAAACCAGGTCTAAACGGTCTAAACCAGGTCTAAACCAGGTAAACCAGGTCTAATAAACTAAACCACAGGACTAAATCCAGGTGGTCTAAACCAGGTGGAAACCATGGTTTCCTCGTCTTCTATCAATAATATTTTTAATTTGGTTGAGTAAAGTTTGGGCTTTTTATTTTCTTTTTAACAGACAAAACATCTTATGTGAAGATATTCGAGTCTTTGCTTCTCTACAGCAAATCAAGTAATCCAAAGTAATCAGATTACGTTACTCACTTTAAGTAATTTAATGGATTCCGTTACAAACTACATTTTGGTGTATGTAATCTGTAATCTGTAGGGGATTACATTTTAAAAGTAACACTCCCAACACTGCACACAATGTAAAATACGTGTTTGTGTGTGATAATTTAGAGAAAATACAGATATCTAGTTTTGAAATGTAAAGATTATAGAGGTAACTCCTGCACACATCTGGACAGACATTTCAAATAAAACCTCCCTGTATGACTCAAGTATCTCAGGGGGCCATCATCTCTTACAATGTTTTTTTCCCTTTTTTGTCTTTGAATGCTTATTTTTAACTCACTTATATGCTACAAGTACATTAAAGACAAAACACGAAGGCCTCCTCAGAGCAGAACACACGCAGCTGCAGGCTTCAGGCATGGGCCACTGCTCCATCACAAAAAACACCATTAAAACACTACATTCACTCAACCACAAGGGCACATGTTTTTCTCTGCAGTAAACCTTCATATCTCCACTTATAATAGTACTTCATAATAACAATTTGTTCAGTATTATAGTCTACAAGGATTTAAAGGTCTTGTACTCAGTGTTTTCTGTGTATTTCAGCCCCAGTACAGATGTATTTTACTAACAGCTCTTGAGATCAAAATAAGTCTGTTTACTGTTTGCATGTGTGAGTGTTAGACAGTGTTGGGGAGTAACAGATTACATGTACTGGAGTTATGTAATCAGAGTACAAATTATGAGTAACTGTATTCAGTTACAGTTACTGTTTCAATGAGTGGTAATTGGATTACAGTTACTTTGTTGAAATAAATGGATTACACAGCGATTTTTCCTGTTTTCACATTTTGGGCAAAATCCTTTTTTTTTTTTTTAGTAATTCCACTCATTGCCAGACACTAAACCAGGACTAAAACCAAGACTAAACCAGGACTGAACCAGGATTAAACTAGAAAAGCAGTCAGAGAGCGCAGACCTCCGCCAAGGACTACCCCCATTTTTTATATAAATTGCGATAAAATCAGTCTTCTGGATCAGATCCGGATCAGCCTTTGGAATATGAAAGAGGATCCCATTGTCCATCCCTGAGTCAAATTTCATGGGGTTTGGTCAATAATTAACCCAGATATTGAGAAACAACATTTTTGGCCCCATTTACCACAATGTTAAATAAAATTTCAAAGTGATCCAGAATCCAGGATTTCTTCCGGATCAGCCCCAAAATGAAATCAGTTCTTCCTTTTCACATTTCCAACAAATCCTGAAAATTTCATCAAAATCGGTCCATAAGTTTTTGAGTTATGTTGCTAACAGACAAACAAACAAACAAACAAACAAACAAACAACAAACAAACAGACAAACGCCGGCAAAAACATAACCTCCTTGGCGGAGGTAACCAGATCTAAACCAGTTCTAAACCAGGTCTAAACCAGGTCTAAACCAGATCTAAACTAGATCTAAACTAGATCTAACTAGGACTAAAACAGGATTTAACATTACAAAACCATTCTATCAATAATATTTTTAATTTGGTTCAGTAAAGTCTGGGCTTTTTATTTTCTTTTAGCAGATAAAACATCTTATGTGAAGATATTCGAGTCTTTGCTTCTCTACAGAAAATCAAGTAATCCAAAGTATTCAGATTACGTTACTCACTTTAAGTAACTTAATGGATTACGTTACAAACTATATTTTGGGGTGTGTAATCTGTAATCTGTAGGGGATTACATTTTAAAAGTAACACTCCCAACACTGGTGTTAGCATGCTAGTTGTTGTTAGTTTTACCGGGGTCAGTCTTATCATCAGAAGAGCCTCTAGTCAGAAAATCCATGTTCAGGTTGTGTTACAAATTGTTACAAATGAAATTGTATTTCAAGTTTTAAATATTTTAAAAAGTAAATATTAAAAGTAATAAATATATTAAACCCTTAAAATACAGCAAAAATGTTTGAGGAAATAATGATTTGGGTGGAAATGTCTGTCTTAAGTGGAACAGGGTTAATAATTGTCTGATTTTCAGGCAACAACTTGTAAAATGTTCAGTAATTCGAGCTCAACAACCTTCATTTCAATTTTATTTTAAATCCTTTTCTTTTAATATAGCATTGGTGGGTTTGTAATTCTGACCTTAGCTAATGCTGTTATGCATGATTATGTGTTTTCATGTCAATATCTCTAAAAATGTTGATGTTGCAGCCATTTTTATTTGGTAAACATCCAAAAGTTTACTAATTCTTCCCTGATATCCAGGGATTATTCCCTGTTGCTTTCATCAAATATACATTCAATTGTTCAAGAGAAATGTTGCTGACAAACCAGAAGAAGAGGTCATGATTTTCTGACTAGTGGGCCTTCTGATGATAAGAGTGTAACCGTTTTACTGTCACAGCAAAACTCCACACTGTTCTCTGAGAGTTGTGAAAAGTTATGGTGAATAATTCGGATGCTCTGAATACGTAAGTGAGGAGGTAACTTTGAACCACTGCAAACTGTTTGAAATGAACTAGTTTTGTATTTCAAGTCTTTAAAAAAAGTAAAAATCAGGTACAGCACCTTTAGTGAACCAGAATTCTCTTTAAAGGGATAGTTCGGGTTTTTTGACATGAATCTGTATGTCATCCCTGTGAGTGTCGTGCATCCACACTGACTTACCCCCGACATCATCGGTGTTTTCCACTAAAGAATCATCTTAGAAGGACAAAGGACACAGACTTTACATTTTGAACTGAAAAATGAAATCACCTCTCACTTATTCAATGCACAAGATCCCAATAATGCAGCGGTTGTATTATTTATTTTGATTGATTGATTGATTGCATTTATACAGCGCCTTTCAAGATACTCAAAGAGCTTTACAGTTCATTATTCACTCCCTCAACACTCGGTGGTGGTAAACTACTATTGTAGCCACAGCTGCCCTGGGCCAGACCGACAGAAGCGAGGCTGCCAATCTGCGCCATCCGCCGACCATCACCATCACTCACATACTAGGCAATGTGGGTGAAATGTCTTGCCTAAGGACACAACGACAGTTTTGCCACTAGTGGATGCAAAACAACTTTCTCCAGCTAAACTCTGACAAGACTGAAGTCATAGTGTTTGGTCCACAGAAACAAAGGGACAGTGTCAGCAGTCACCTCCAGTCTCTCTCTCTAAAACCTTCAAATCAGGCAAGAAATCTCGGGGTAATAATGGACTCAGACTTGAACTTTAACAGCCACATCAAATCAATAACATCTGCAGCCTTTTACCATCTAAAAAACATAGCGAAAAATCAAAGGTTTACTGTCTAAATCAGACTTGGAGAAACTTATCCATGCGTTTGTCTCCAGTAGGTTAGATACTGTAATGTTCTGCTCACTGGTCTCTCCAAACGAGCTGTGAGACGCTGCAGAACATCCAGAACATCCAGAACATCCAGAACATCCAGAACAGCAGCTCGGGTCCTGACTCGAACTAGGAAGTACGAGCACATAAGTCCTGTGCTCAGGTCTCTGCACTGGCTCCTGTGGCTCAGAGACTTTAAAGCAGCTCTGCTTGTGTACAAGTCTCTCCATGTCCGAGCACCAAAGTCCATCTGTGACATGTTAGTGTCATATGAACCATCTCACACTCTGAGGAGCTCAGGGACCAACCTCCTGCTGGTGCCCAGAGTCACGACTAAACAAGGGGAGTCAGAGTTTCAGGTTCATGCAGCTAAAACCTGGAACAGTCTGAACATGTGAGACAGACTCTTCTGTGACGCTGTTTAAATCCAGACTCAAAACATTTCTGTTTAACTGTGCAAATAACTGAAAGGTTTTCATTCCGCACTCTTCTCTCCAATTTATGTCTCTCTTTTTTAATTTAATCTTCATGATTATTTATGTTTTGATTTGTTTTTATTATGATTTTAATGTATTTCTTATTCTGTAAAGCACTTTGAATTACTTTGTGTACGAATTGTGCTGTACAAATAAACTTGCCTTGCCTAGTGCCTCCACTGTGGCACCTTTAATTCCCAGTGTCTCCCATCCAAGTACTAACCAGGCCTGGCCTTGTTTAGCTTCTGAGATCTGACGGGATCAGGCTTTGACAAGCCGGTCTGGCCACATAATTTTGAGAGCAAGAATTTTTTAGACTAATGTTATTTGTTATCTGGAATGTTTTTCTGTTGCACAAGAGCCCAAAATGTTCTTAAAATCTGAAAAAAAGGTAAAAGTAAAAAGTAAAGTGTTGAAATATTCAGCATAGTGTGGCTGTGTGTGTATGTACAAGTAACCTGTCAGTTCGTTTCATTAGTTGGTTTCAGCTACTGTCGCCTGTCAGATCTGTGGAGAGGCAAGCCCGTTCACAGCAAGAGTACATGCACTGTATTTCAAGATGCGAAATAAAATCTTGCAATTAGAGAAAAACAAGATATACCAGTTTAATGTCATACTGTGGAACGTTTCAGACAAAGCAAAAACATCAACAAGCTTTTTTTGTGCCTTCACCACAAAAGTTACACAGTTTACCTTTTGGTTTTCGCTTAATCCGTTTTTTCTCGATTTCCCCTGCAGTGAAGCGATGTTGTGTGCACAGATTTGACCTTCAGATCCTCATCTATCTGCTGTTCCATCTGTCACAGCGGTTCCTCTCACTGCTGTACTCACACAAACCAATATCACAGCAACCCCTCCTCACCACCCTCCCCACCGCACCACCCCCCCTCCTCACCACCCGTCCCCCTCCCACCAACCCCCCCTCCACCACCCCGCCCCCTCCGCACCACCCGCCCCACCCCCTCCTCACCACCCGCCCCCTCCTCACCACCCGCACCCCCTCCTCACACACCCGCCCCCCTCCTCACCACCCGTCCCCCTCCGCACCACCCGCCCCTCCTCACCACCCGTCCCCCTCCTCACCACCCGTCCCCCTCTGCACCACCCGCCCCCCTCCTCACCACCCGCCCCCCTCCTCACCACCCGTCCCCCTCCGTCCGCCACCCCCCCCCCCTCACCACCCGCCCCCCTCCCCTCCTCACCACCCGCCCCCCTCACCAACCCGCCCCCCTCCTCACCACCCGCCCCCTCTGCACCACCCGCCCCTCCGCACCACCCGTCCCCCTCCGCACCACCCGCCCCCTCCTCACACCCGCCCCCTCCTCACCACCCGCCCCCCTCACCACCACCACCCCCCTCCGCACCACCCGTCCCCCTCCGCACCACCCGCCCCCCTCCTCACCCCCCGCCCCCTCCTCACCACCCGTCCCCCTCCGCACCACCCGCCCCCTCCTCACCCCCCGCCCCCTCCGCACCACCACACTCAACTTTCACATTTAAACTGTGGACAACTTGTCAAGTAAAGTGCCGTGTTTAAAGCCTGGAGTCCATCTCGCTTAAACCTGCACTACGCATCTTCTAAGGCAGACGGTCCCAGAAGTCGTCAAGTCATTGGTTTGCAAGTCTCAAGTAAGTCTCAAGTCTATGACCTCAATTTCGAGTCAAGTCCCAAGTCAAAGTCAAGTCCAAGTTGTCTGCTTTGAGCTTCAAATCATTTCAAGTCTTTAAACCAAATGTAGCTTAAATTATTCATTATAAGACTTTTTCCATTCAAATACTGTATTTCAAGATCACCTGCTTTGGTTCAGCTTATGCCGGGCGTACACTGTGCGATATTTTCAGTCGTGTCACTCAGCCTCAGCTTAAACTGTACGAACAAATCGCAAGGTTTAAAAGTTCACAGCTCACGAATCATGTTCTCACACTGTACGAACTGATGCTTGAGCACGACCTGCCTGCGCACACTGTACGATCACATGACAACCAGAGTTGTTGTTATGAAAGTAGAAAACCACGAAGAAGAAAACCACGGACATGCGGAGACACAATGCTGATCCAGGCAAAAAACAAACACGCTGCCTTGGCAATTTGTGCCATTCTCTGCTCAGACAAGCCCAAAAAGAAGAGGCGACGAATCTGGTCAATGAAATGTGTGGGCAGATGTGGGCAGTACGGGTTGTCAGTTCTTCAGAGGGAACTGGAGGTAAGTAGCATCCGGTTTTTCACCAAACTTGTGTTCTGTGTTGCTCGATTAGCTGCGCCTCCATGTCCTGTGTCCAAAACACTCGCCGGCGCCGTCGTCCTCCACAACCTCATATCCTGTTTCCACTTCTGTGTCCACACATGCGCAGCCTGGCACATTTTGGCAAATCGGCTCGTGGAACGACTTCAACAGAGCGAAAACCTCACGAGAGGCGACTGAATTTCAAACAAGTTTGATATTCTTGTGACCTACGAATGCTGATCGGGAGCTGGTCGTGAGGTATTAACCTGTTCTCTTTACTCTATGTTTACTACACGAAGCACGACACACGATGAAGCCAAAACTTGCCCCGAACCCCAAAACAGTCGCAGGAGTGAATAATCGGCTCAAAACGGGTCAAAAAATCACACAGTGTACGCCCAGCTTTAAAATATAACACATTCTAGGGCAGGGGTGTCAAACTCATTTTGGTCCAGGGGCCGTATCCAACCGACTTTGATCCCAAAGTGTCCGGATCAGAAAACTCATGTCATATAAACCCCAAAAATAACAATAAGTTCAAATATTTGTGCAGAGAAACACAAATCTATTACAGAAATCTTTTTTAATTGATGAACTCTTTCTTTTACAAAATATTATAATATTATGAACAACCTGAAACTTTAAGAAAAATGCAATTTCAACACAAAGTTTTAACATGAACTTGTCTGTAAACAGGAATAAGTCAATTTTTGTTGTAAAATCCTGCACTCGGCTCCACTTTTCTCATGTTGGACATTTTTCTGATGAGGGTGTCACGGTCAACAGTCAAAACGATCGTCCTTTAAGAGCGTTTGGAAAGAGACAAGTCTTCATTTGTGCTGCTCTGGTGGGAGGGGCCACGTACAGAGACGCTGGAGACGCTGCTGTGATAAACACCACAGAAAATTAACAAGATTTTAATAGAAAATATAATTAAAATATTTTTGTAGAAAATCAGCCAAGGGCCAGATTAAAGGTCTTGGAGGGCCGAATCCAGCCCCTGAGCCGTATGTTTGACACCCGTGTTCTAGGGTCAACATGTTTTGTGAATGTTTGCATCTTGCTAAAGGAAACAGTTTTATGTCTGTCAAGTTACTTTTTAATAACCTTTTTTCATTTTTTTTACGTGATTGAAAACTTTAATGGGACAGTTACTGACAACTTCCTCCATTAAATATATCACTCAATATAAATTAGCTCAGAACTTCTTACTTTAACAGTTCAATTTGTCTTTCTTATCTCTCATATTCCACCAAATGATTCTCTGATTTATTTGATTTTTGGACACATTTACTACCTTCACCTGTGCTCCTGATGGTTTCCTCACTCTGATGATGGACAAATGGAGGTATAGAAGTTGCCAGATATATACCGCCCAAGGCCCAAAGTCATTCATTCTGAGCAAATCAACGCCTAGGCAGTGAAAAACAGAGCTGCAGGTGAATATTTGAGTGAAATTTGAGGATTTTATGGTCTAAATGAGTGTTGAAAAAGATGGATGTGAACAGGGGCATTCTGGGGATACCGACCTGACGACACAATGGACTTAAAGCTCCTACTTCACACAAAACTGACTCCGAGTTGTGCTTTGTTTGAGTAATCTTTTATTATTAGTCTGTCAGCATCTCCAAAGCTCAAAATGCTCTGTTCTACCTTGTATAGTTTTCAAGTTAACAGCTACATTTTCATTTTTGTTCAGTAGACGTTGGCAATTCCAGAGCTAAAATCATCTAAATGATTCAAGAGAAGGTGTATGGAGTTTAAAAACACAGTGGAGCGCTTCCTGTATTACCACATGACATCGCAAGGTGGAACAGACTGTTTTCTGTTTGAGAGAAGAGCTCAGCCTGATAATGCAGGATGGTTTGTGTTAAACATGCGTGAATGAAACAAAACACAACTCCAGCTTTGTTTAGGACGAGGAAACAACATTATGACAGATTAGAAAATAATATGGGACCTTTAAGGAGAGTTTGGAAGTGACAATGAATGAGTCAATGTGATTCTTTTACATTTGTAACACTTTAGTTTTGGTGAAACATAATAAAACGATGGTCTAGAGCAGCGGTCCTCAATCCCCGGGCCAGGGACCGGTACCAATCTGTGGGTCGTTTAGTACTGGGCCCCACAGATAAAATAAGGGCCCGGTCAAGCAGAAGTAAACAACAAGGCCAAAAATTCAAGTTAATGCATCTGATATAAAAATGTATTGAACAGATACATATGTACTCTAGTTTATGAAACTGTTGACCTTTTTTCTGTACCATTTTTGGTTCTAAAGTTACATACATTTTAAACAGACCATGTATGAAACATGGAACAAAAATTATTTCCCAAATTTCAAAGACCTGCAAATCATGTAAATAAATGGATGTATTTCATCATATCTTGTGTTATTCCATCTTTGAACTGTTGATGAAGGGACATGATTAAAAAAAAAAAAAAAAAAAAAAAAAAAGTATTTAAAATGATAAAAATTTGCTTGGAAGGACTGACATATTTTATAGAAATAGTTTCCTTTCATTTTGAAGTAATATTAAAGTATTCGGAAGAAAAAAGTTGACAAATTATGTAAAATCCTGCACCTTCTACTTTGAACAATTTTCCCTCCGTTACCATGAACTTTCTTAATAAAAAAAAATGACTCAAAAAGTAAGAGGTTTTTCAACCTAATCTTGTACCATATGGTAGAAAACTATATGAAGCAAATATTCAAACCAGTTTGTTAAGGATATGTAAGTGAGAACCAAGAGTTATCACTGTTTGGATTTATTGCCCAAAAAGTGCTGCATATTTCATTCCCTCCGTTACCGACATGAGTTTTTAATTTTTTGTCAACAACTTGAAAGAATATCACAGGTTTAACTTGACCCTGTTGGAGTGTAACTCTTTCCTACATTCTGATACTTTACTTATTTCAATAGTCCCTCTAGTTTCTGAATAAGAGACATTTGAATGTCAAAAATCTGCACCTGTTTCCCTCCGTTACCACTTGACCAGACCAATAAATAACTTACATTATTTCTATTTATTTATTATCCGAGTCTGAACAATGTTTTATTTTGAAAAACAAACAAATTATCTCTGTCTGAGTCACTCTTGACACATTTCAAGATGCTTGTTTCTGTCATGTGATACATTAACGCCAATATTAAACCCACAAGCTGCAAAATGAGTAAAAAACAGACGGCTTTGGAAACTTTCATTATTATATTTACAAATACCCTAGTATTTGTGTTGGTCGTATCATTTTATTTTGTCATATTTATCCGCCACACCGTAAAGGCCGGTCTGTGAAAATATTGTCTGACATTAAAACCAGTCCGTGGTGCAAAAGAGGTTAGGGAGCCCTGGTCTTAGCAGACATGTCAAACTCAGGCCCAGGGGCCAAATTTGGCCTGCGATACAATGATATTTGGTCCGCGAGATGATATCAAATATGTATTAGAGCTGGCCAGCCCGCTACAGATAGGCTATAAAGACGTTATTTATTTCAAATGTTTTTATTATTTTTATATGATGCTTGTTCTGGATTCAATATTTAAACAAAACTATTATTGAACAATTATTTTAAAAAGAAAAAGTTTAACATAATATATCTCAAAAGAAGAGAAAACATGCAGATGTTATTGAAATTTTTCACTAAATATTTAGTTTGGTCCACGACTTTGTCCCCGTTTTTAATTTTGGCCTCTGTGAAGTTGAGTTTGACGCCCCTGGTCTAGAGGACTATTAAAAAATGGGTGTTATGCAAATTCTTTTTTTTTTTTTAAGCTTTCTACCATGTGATAAAGTTGTGTTTTACCATTCCCTCATCAAGAGACATGCCTCAAGAGGTTATAGATGCCATCCGTATATGTTTCATTAATTTAGTGATTCTGTACAATTCTCAATTCACAAGCCTTTGTCACCCAGGCTCCCACATGACAATTCTCAATAAATATACAAAAACATGAAACAAAACTGTACACAACAATGTGACAAACCTGAGGCTCTGCGGGGGGAGTGACCATGCAAAGAGCAAAGAAAGAAAGGGGAACTCAGAATTCTGCACCAAAATCCATTAAGAGGGTAAAAGGGGGCAATAGGATTAACACACACTATTTTCTTGGTTTTGACAAAAGCTCTGTGGGTCAGAGCAGGATTTACAGTCAAATGTGTGAAATATAAAGACACGATGGAGATGAGGAGATGAGTCCAGGAAAGAGACTGTAAATCTGCTGTGGACTGAGAGGTTAAGTGAATAGACTTGACTCTGTGCTCCATCTCATTTCTCCTGGACTTAATATACTCTGTCAC